AATGCCTCCAGAAAGGAAGGCTAAGCAACTGTTCCTTGCAAATCCGACCGGCAAAAGGCCGAGGGGACGGGCAAGATTAACCTGGTGCAAATATATGGAAGGAGCATGTTCCAGACTCCATTTGTCTTTTGCCGAAGATCAGACTCTGGCAGAGGATCGGGAACGTTTGCAGCTCTGTCTGTAGCGTCTGCCTTCTCGATCCAAAAGGAGAAGCGGCAATGGAAGACAAAGATGGAGAAGATATTTTGGTTCAAGCTCTAAGAAGCAATACTTTAATATTTTTGTATATCCACTATATCCTCCTTCGAGTTCTCTTACTGACATTTCGAGCGAAGTTATTAACCTATTAGTACTGCCGATTAAAAATGAGTCAATTCTGAATTTTACGTCACTTCAAGACAATTTGTATGACATCGATCATGACGTCGTTTAGTTGTATGTTTCAAATTTTAATTTATTTTATTGCAGTAATTTTAGAAGCTCTTTCTTGTTGTCTTTCGCGTCCCGCTAGGGACGATAAAATGATAACAATTAGAAGCAGATTTTGTATAACGGCTAAACGATAGTGGCGAAACAAACCAGCAATATGCAGATGATTGTGGTCGCAATGACAGTTTATAATGTATATACAATCATTTTGAATGTTAGCCCCATGAATTTCATAAAAATTGAACGACTTTGCTCAAACATAATGGGACTGACGTCATAAATACGAACACTACATGTAAGAAGAAACAAATTTTGGGATACACTTATTTCCAATGTGCCACCAGGCATGAAAGTGTTGCAGCTCGCTTCCGGTTTCAACGATTTTTTTCTTTTCATGCAGCGCCGCGCAAAGGTCACAAAAACAGATATTCCGCATTTCAACTGCCTTCGTTTTCTGCCATTCGAAATAACGCAGATACTCTTCGTCGTGTAGATCGAGATATCTGATATACTCGGCGAGCTGCCGGACGTTTCGGAAGTCGTCGATCGCAATGAAGCTCGACCCCGGTGCTATTTTCTCATAATCGGTTCGTCTAAGAACGATTGGAACAGTATAGCTTAATAAAGAGTCAAAAAACCGCTCGGTAAAGTAATCTTCGCAGACGCTGTTTTCGAACGTGATCCGAAATTTGTACTTGGCACCTAAATCATTCGCTCTTAAACTGCTCAATTTGAACATTGATGAAAAATTACCAAGATATCTGATTTCCCAGCTTCTTGACCGCTTCAAGATCAGACGACCACATTTTCCGTATATGTCTATCTGCAAGTACTTGCTCAACTCTTTGACATACCTCTCGCGGCCGGAATGGGTATTGCATTTGCTGACTACCCAAGAAACTAGTTTCGGCCGTCGCAACAAGCGCAGTTTCAGGATCTCCGGCAAATCTGTTCCATTATCTCGCTGTACCAATTGTCCGTACGGACAGTAGAAGGTTGAATCTCGACGGTAGGTCATAGACCAGTCGAAAAAATTCTCCCAACCAAACGAAGGACCAAGAACTTGAGGTGGTGATTCGTGGGAGTAAAACACGAATTTCTGTCCACTTCTCTTGTTTAACATACGGTCATGGACTTCAACATGACAAAGGTCAAACAATACCGCAGCGCTTTTCCTTAGGTAATGTCGATTCTCTGTCAGGAAACAACGATAGGGCCCGCAGTGAATTATTCCTTTTCGTTGTAAAGGTCTGTCGAAAAGCTTTGTCCATGAAAGTAGAATTGGCACACTTCTTTGGTAAACGCTGAAGTTATGATATCCATGATCCTGCTTATGAACATCTCTGCCATATCCTTTGAAATGCACGAGTTTCCAGAGGATAACGCAGTAGGCACAACTGAGAATGACTGCAGCTGCTCTCAACATGTGCATCGTTCCATAACACTGATGATTCGGGTTAACTGGTCTGGAGCAATCGAAATCAGGTTCGCAATGTGACCCGTAAACGATTTGCTGACTTTTTTTATTTTACTTGACAGATAAGTGATTTAAAAACATTAACAAAAAATTGACGTCAACTATAGTTGACCTCAAGATCAAAAAAGAGCAGTGTGGCTTTCGGCCCGGTCGAAGCACCTCTGACCATATATTTGCCCTGCGCCAGATTGTTGAGAAATCGTGGAATACGCCCATCCAATGTACATGTGTTTTATGGACCGAGAAAAAGCCTATGACCGGATCCCACGCAACAGTCTCTAGACATGCCTTCGTGCATACGGGATTGATGGCAAGTTGCTAGGGCCATCCAATCACTGTATTCTGATAGCAGGTGCTGTGTCAGAGTTAACGGCGTTAAGTCCAAACCATTCAACGTTCGCACTGGTCTCCGCCAAGGCTGCGTCCTGTCCCCTAACCTGTCTTTGTTGAACATGGATAGAATAGTCAGGAGCTGCCAAGACGATGAGGGTATCGGTGTAAGAGATGTGAAAACCAGAAGGTTGCTGTTTGCAGACGACCTTGTTTTGCTAGCATCTTTAGAAACTGATCTTCAATGCTCCTTAGAAAGGTTCGCAGCCCAGTCAGATGTGACCGGCATGCGTGTGAACGCATCTAAAACAAAAAGCCTAGTACTTTCTCGTTCTCCTGCCCGTTGCTCTCTTCAGATTAACGGAGAGGCAG